AAAAAAAAAAAAAAACAGCTAGCTCAATAGAGCATAGCAACTGTTATCTCCCTCGAAACAAAATATTGCAATTCAGCCCAAATATCTTGGTTTCTATTAACCCCTTCGATAGCTAGCATATCAGCTATTCCATTTGCCACTTTATTAACCCATTGGACCTTAATTTGTAGATTCCTAATCAACACTTGAATTTCCTCATCAGATTTCTCTGTATGCCCAAATAGCCTTTTCCTCATTCAGTAACCAACTTATTACCAATTTTGAATCACCCTCTATAATTTGATTAGACACATTCATTTCCACAGCCTTCTGCACTCCAAACATAGCTGCCATAATTTCAGTTCTTATCGAACCTCCAATACTCATTGGACCTGAAAACATTGCAACTGCATTTCCCTTCTCATTTTTGAACACCCCCTATTCCGCAAGGCTCTGAATTTCCAATGCTGCTGCCGTCAAAGTTCAATTTTAAGAAGCCCCTTCTTGGTCTCGTCCCTACACATTCCTCCCTCCTCTTTTTTGAAGACGGCCCTGCTACCCCAGCCCAAATTCTTAACCCTAGAGAATGGTTAAAACAGCCTTCAAAGTTTTCAGCCACAAAGCTGCCCTATAAGTGGAATTCAAAGATTTCCTCTTTACTTTCTTTCCTTGTCATTGAAAGTATTCCTTTCCTATCATAAAGTCCGCACCACTACTATTTGCACATCTCCACATAATTCTTCCCCTTCTTTTTGGCCATCTAAAAATTATTGGTGAGAACAAGTTAGCCACACAAGTAGGATTATTCCACCTGTACCCAAAAAGAGAAAAGAGCCTTTGTCAAATACTAAGAGCAACTGGACAGGAGATTATTAAGTGTAAACAAGACTCACCATTATTGTTTCATTGCTCACTAGTATGGGGCATTATACCAGTTAGGCCTCCTTTTTTGCAACAAGTCACAAGTGGTGACATTTTCATAAAAGAACTTCCCAATAGAGAACTCCAATTTTAGGAGGCATAGGCTTGCATCAAACCTGTTCAATTGGGAAGGGTTGCATATCCTGGGAAGAGGGAAATAAGGATTTGAAAAAAGAGGTACATGAGAAATGGGGTAAGGGGAGAATCTCTGGATTCCATCCAAATATGACCATCTTCTTTTCCAGGCTCAAGGTAAATTCCGTCCAAAATACCTAACAGATTAGAGATTGATTATAGTTCAGAATCTCTGGATTTCTCCTAAAACTCATATTCCAATCAAACCCTTTAGAGAATTTGAAAGCACAATAAACTCCGCAATAGGCTTACCCTTAAAAGAAGAAAGAGAGAACAATGAAGGAAAAAAAAAACCTTCAGAGGTGATTTTCCCACCCACCAATCCTCTGAAAACTTAATTTTACTACCAGAATAAGCATCATAACTTAGAAAGTTAGAGAACAGAGGAAGGATTCCATGAATTAATTTCCAAGGAGAAGCAAGAGTAGCTCTAGGAGAGAGCCCAATATCCTATTCCATTTCCTTTCAGCCAATGAATGCTAACCTCCACCTTGTGCCACTGTTTTTCTTTTTTCAATTGGCAATTTCCAAAGCCATTTTCCTAGCAAAGCCACATTCTTCTTTTCCAAGTTCCCAATCCCCAACCTACCATGCTCTTTCTTTCCTTCTATGCACCCTTGCCTTTCGAGATGGATTACATGCCAAGTTTACTGTATTTTCCTTTTTCTGTCATGTTACTCTGCAAAATCTAGATTGTCCTCTTACATAAATTAGTGATGGAAAATAAGGTTAAACTATTGTGATTCAAACTATGCTTCTTCACCTGGTAAAAGCCTCATTTGGGTGAGGCTGATTTGTTTTCTTTAGTAAATTGGACTTGTTGACTCTGACTAGTAATAGCTTCGTAGGTGTTTGGCACCGGAGCATTTCACAAACGTTCCATTTTTGCTAATGTGTTATTCATGCCACATCAGCAAATAAATGGAATCGGTAAGAAAATCGCATTTTGGTAGTCTGTTTTTCAAAAATATGTTTTTGCAATGATTAGCTCTGGGATTCAGGAAAGGAGGAATCTAGGAGTTACAATGATGCCAAATGTTGAGATGGATGAGTAGGAAAAGCTAGAAATGATAGGATTAGAAATGATCAAATTTGTAGGAATCTAGGAGTTAGCCCCTATAGGTGATAAAATGAGGCAAAGTAGTCTAAGATGGTTTGGTTGTGTGCAGAAAGGCCATTTTCAGAACTAGTAAAAAGAAGCAAGCGCATGGCAGAACATGATTCATGTAGCTGATCCCATATAGTTGGGACATGTTTTTGTTGAGTTGAGTCTGTTTCTACAAGCCCTCTTTAGCTTAATTGAAACTCACAATCTTTACAAACCATGTACTTAGAGTCTTAGACAGTTAGGCCAGACAATAACCCAATTATAGTCGGTATTTTGAAGCATTGACTGGTTTATCGACAAGTCAGTTGAGGAACAGACCAACTGCATCAATCACTAATTGGTTGATACTCATGATGTGGTTTCCTAGGACAGCTAAGCATGAACTAGCTCGACTAGTCAACCTAGTCAACCACAAGTTCATTTTAAAAGCTTTGTTTGTTTGTCACTCTGATTGTTTGATATAGAATATATTTACATTATGTTGCATTCATGCTGTTGCTTTAAATATTTGTGATGGGACATGATTTGATGATGGTGTCTAAAATAGAATAAAGGGAGGCAGCAGAGAAGTTCTTTCAAGTTTTCTTTTTTTTTTTCCCAATTAGTGGTGTGTTGGTGTGGAGTTGCCACAAAGGCACAAACAAAGGACATATTGAATGGTCAAGGTTATACTATTTCTTTGGAAAACAAAGACTGTGATTCCCTATCCTAGTCCATCCAGCCTAACTTTAATGTTCAATATCATTCTTTTCTTGCATAGTTGTGGTTTTATTAACTTATTTCTGGGATTGCATAGTTGTAGTTTCTTTTTATTGACTAATATATGCTTAGGCACTAATTAATCATTGCATTGGCCAGAGAGGACAAAACAACTAGTCATTGCTTCAGTGCATTGATAACGCTGAGTACAGCTTCCCATTTAAACTTGGCATGTTCTATTTTGAACAGGTTTTGTATGAGAAGAAGAAAAGAATGGTGCCATAAAATCAAATACCTTGTTTATACTTAATGATCATTCACTGTCACCAATGTGAATAAATAACAACTTAGACATGTAATTAAACCATACAATCTTTTCAGATTTCTATTCTCAATAGAAGCTGATCTAGACCATGATATTTTTGAAGCCTCAATACATACCCTGCAGATCCTCATACTTTAGGAGATTAACCCATTTTGAGTGATTTAGGAACATTATTGTTGAAGCAATTTCTATTGTACCAGAAAGGTATGGTACCTGAAAAGCTTTTACAAATCAGAAATCCACTTAAACTTGAATGAATACAAGTTGATTGGCTACCAATTGGATGACACTGGTTGATTTGTTATCAGTTTTTTAGGTAAAATACCATTTCAGTGTCATTTTTGGACTCTATTGAAGATTGGATTATTAAAATAACTACTGTCATAGTGATGAACTCATGCTGGGTGGCTATTTTATGTTTTTGTGCATCTAGGGACGTTTCAAGTATCAACCTGGCCAAGTTAGAGCTTTTGGGATGCTTGCTGGAGGCTCTGGCATTACTCCTATGTTCCAGGTATGTAAGTGGTCTATTTTCTTGCCGAGTACATTTTCCACTATTTGTTGAGGTTAATCTTTCTTTCTGTTTCTGACTGCAAATTAGGTTGCTAGAGCTATCCTAGAAAACCCAAAAGACAGAACTAAGGTACATCTTATATACGCCAATGTCACGCTTGAGGACATTCTTTTGAAGGTAAGGTCCTCTCTCTCTCTCTTTATACACGAACACATACACTTAACACAACACAAATGGATGTCATTTCTCTGAGCATCATGACCACCTTTACCTATTCTAGAATATTACTTAGGAACAAGGAATAAACTTTAGACAGATTTGACAATGAAGTCATTATTTTCATCATCTAAGTCTCATTCCAACTATATGGAGCCAGCTACATGAATACTGTTTTGCCATTCTGTTATGTTCAGTGCCATATCCATTGTTAAATTATGGGTGCTTAAGTCATTTCTTATTACTTCTACACAAGTCCTTTGGTCTCCCCTAGAACTTCTAGCCCCTTCAACTTGTAACAAATCATTTTTTTTTTCTAACAGGTGTTGTGGATAGTCCTTTATGCACATGATCAAACTATCTCAATCTAATTTCTCTCATTTTATCACTTATTGGAGCTAGTCCTGGGTTCCTTCATATGACTTCATTTATAGCCCTGTCCTTTCTAGTTTTACCACTCATTTGATCATTCTCATTTCTGCCACACTCATTTTATGGACATGCTATTTCTTAATTGTCCAACACTCTTCTCCATACAATGAGGTCATAAAAGATGTAATAATGAGCATCAATAGAAACTCAAGAGTTGAGAAGGTGGAAAAAAGGAATAAGATGGAAGTCTTTTAATTTTGAAATGAACTTGTCTTCATTGCTCCCATGTTGTATTTTAACTGCTTTAAAAGTGAGAATCTTCTTGATTTTGGTTGCCAAAACTCTTCACCCGGTCTCCTTATGACTTGCGTTGTAATTTGGGTCCTTCTGTAGTTCATTTTGTTTATAGGAGCCACCTGATCCCAGCACAAAGCCGCCTTGTTTATCCTTTTTTCTTTTTTCTTTTTTTTTATCTCTAATAACACATCAAAACCTCTATCATTATCAATAATCACCCACATGTATAGAGGAAAATCTATGTTGCTGGAAAGACATGATACCAGAAGGGCTTTGAGCAATCAAAACCTCCCTGTGAATTTTGATAAACACCACCTGATTGATAACCACATTTATGATACCAATTAATTGGTTTTCAAGTTTTTCCGGTATCATAGTTGAACCCTATTAATATGAATCCTACATTTTTTTTAGTTTTCTTCAATTTAATGTTTTTACATGTGAGGTGTAGGCCTCTTGTACCACCTAGAAGCAGTTTGGCTCTGCCTTGTCTTAAGGCATACACCTCACCTCCTTGATATGAATCTTCTATCATATGCAGTGTTTTTTGTTTACCATAGAATCAACACAATGTTTTTTTTTTTTTTTTTAAGTTTTTTGATGTCCATCTTAGTAGCATCCAAAGGTCTGACTTGGAATAATAAGTTTAGTGCTGTATATGGTCTTTATTGCTTATCAACTTCAGCATTTGTTTATCAGTATTAAACACTAGTGCATGGTTTTCAAACATAGTTGTCAAGGCGACGCCTAGGCGACAAGGCGCCCTTGGAGGCTCGCCTCGCCCAGTCGCCTAGCAATTTTATGCACTGGGTTATAAAATAATTTTATATTTTTAATTTTTTGACATTATAATTATAAAATAGACATTATTAAACTAGAATATTCATTTTATGTGTTTATATACTAATTTCCTTTTATTATTTTCTTATTTT